CCAGAGATATGCTCCGACGGGAAAATGCGAGACCCACTCCACGCATCGAAAGGAGAGCCATGGAGCAACTAGACACGTTCTCCACGCTCCGAGGGAAGATAGTGCATGGGTGAGAGGACAGCGGGAACTATCAATGACAGACGCAACAGAGACTGATCATCCCTGGCATGCGTATGTCTACTGGGAGTATTGCAGCGAAGATGACTGCAAGCTCCACTGGAAAAAGAAACACCAGAATCAGTTGTTTCCCCGATCCTCGCCCAGGATACACTTCAGAGACGCAGAGCAAGTTCATGCCCTCAGGCGAAGCCAGTCTGAAGGGGACTTGCCTATCAAAAGCGAACAGGTATACGAGAAATACCCACATCTGCTAGACGAAGCAGAAGAGCGAGGGAAACGATCTCCCCAAGGACCACCATTGGAAGCGGATGAATACTATCCTTCCTCGGACGAGTCAAAAAACTAGGAGTCCTCGACGGTAGGCCACCGGCGAGCGACACGAAGAGGCCTAGTACAGACCAGCTATGCGCCACGACGGGCAGCATGCAACTATATGTGGTCGCTAAGATACAACAGCGACACCTCCGAGCAATGATTGACTCAGGAGCGACGGGCAACTTTATGACAAAGAAAGTAGCAGACACGCAAGGTTTCAAGACGCAATTGAAAACCGAACCATACCCGTTAATGGTCGTAGATGGAGAGCCCATCTCGACTAATGAAGGAATGGTGACCCACGAAACGGTCCCATTGGAAATGGTCATGCTACACGGGCACAAGGAAACGATTCAGTTTGACATCGTGCACATGGACAACCATGCGTGCATCCTTGGTATGCCATGGCTCAAGAAACACAACCCCCAGATCGACTGGTGGAACGAGAAAGTTGTGATGAGCCAGTGCGCGTGTGAACAACGGACGGACACGCGACAACGGGAGAAACCCTCCCAGGGCCGGAAGGAGTTATGTGCAACCTCCGAGCTCGATGACCTAGCCCAGGCATCCTCACCGACGAGTATACCGGTGGAGTACAAGGAATACAAGCAATTATTCCAGGAAGGCCCTAAGAATGAGGCGCTTCCTAAGCACCAACCATGGGATCACGAGATACCTTTGGAGAAAGACAAGAGTCCACCGTTCGGACCAATATATCAGCTATCGGAAAAGGAGCTGAAGGTACTTAAGGAGTACATCGATGATAACCTAGCGAAAGGATTCATCAGACCATCCACATCACCAGCAGGAAGTCCGGTGCTTTTCGTACCAAAGAAAGATGGCTCCCTACGGTTATGTGTGGACTATCGAGCGTTGAACAACATCACAATCAAGGACAGGTATGCCCTGCCGTTAATCAACGAACTACACGATAGATTTCAAGGAGCAAAGATCTTCAGTAAGCTAGATCTGCGAGGAGCATACAACCTGATCCGAATCAAGGCTGGGGAAGAGTGGAAAAGAGCATTCCGCACCCGCTATGGCCTATTCGAGTATCAAGTCATGCCCTTTGGGCTAACAAACGCACCCGCATCTATGCAACGACTGATGAATGATGCTTTGCACGAATACTTAGACATCTTTACCATTGTCTACCTAGACGATGTCCTGGTGTATTCAGCAACCAAGGAGGAGCATGTCAAGCATGTCAAACTCGTCCTGAAGAAACTAAAGGAGTACAGCTTACTCCTCAAACCAGAGAAGTGCGAGTTCCATAAAAACCAAGTCGAATTCTTGGGTTACATTATTGGAACGCACGGCATCAAGATGGACCAAGCAAAAGTAACGGCAGTGTTGGAATGGCCAACACCGACCATGGTCAAGGAAGTGCAAGCCTTCCTAGGCTTCGCCAACTTCTACCGAAGATTCATCTCGGGATATTCCAAGGTAGCTCAACCACTCACGGAGCTTACCAGAAAGGATCTCGAATTCAAATGGATGGACAAGGCAGAGGCTGCTTTCCAGGAACTTAAGACGAAGTTCACGGAAGCACCTATCCTTGCTACATTTGACCCTGCAAAGAAGATCATCCTCGAAACGGACTCTTCTGACTTCGCAATTGGAGCATGTCTGAATCAACCAGACGAGAACGGTAAGTTCAAACCAATCGCGTACTACTCTAGGAAACTGTCACCCGCGGAACTCAATTACGACATCCACGACAAGGAGCTACTGGCTATTGTCGTTGCCTTTGAGCAGTGGCGAGTATATCTTGAGGGACCCACCTACCCTGTGCAGGTATGGACGGATCACAAGAACCTCATATACTTCACCACGACCAAGGTTTTAAACCGCAGACAAGTCCGCTGGGCAGAAACCCTCGCAGCCTACAACTTCACGATAACCTATCGCAAGGGCTCCGAGAATGCAAGAGCAGACGCTCTCAGCAGACGGACCGACTACGCCGGCCCAAAGGAAGAAAGACCTAGAGCAATTCTGAAGAAAACAGATGCAGGAATACAGTACAACGAGTTACTAGCGACGATCTCAGTCATCGAAGATACAGAACTCGAGGAAAGACTCAAGAAAGCTTACGCAACAGACGAATGCGCCAAGCGAGTCTTGTCCAAAGTCGAAGGCGACTTCACCATCGACGAACAAGGATTGATTCGATACAAAGGGTTAGTGTATGTCCCAAGTCAAATGAGACGCCCGCTGGTGCAAGAACAACACTCGTTACCAGCACACGGTCATCAGGGAGTAACACGAACCTTCGAACGAATCACTCGACACTACTACTTCCCAGGTATGAGGAAGCAGGTAGAGACAGTGGTAAGAGAGTGCGACATTTGCAGCAAGTCAAAATCCAATAGGCACCTGCCATACGGACAACTCAAGTCGACACCAGTACCAAAAGGAGCGTGGAAATCAATAGCTTTGGACTTCATCGTCAAGCTTCCACCCTCCAAGGACCCGTTAACAGGAATAGAATACGACTCTATCCTCGTCATCACGGAAAGACTCACGAAATATGGGAAGTTTATACCATATCTAGAAGCTAGCGACGCCGAGGCGCTCGCATATACCTTCATTCGAGTCATATTAGCCGATCATGGGATGCCAGAAGAAATCATCTCAGATAGAGACAAGCTCTTTACTTCGAAATTCTGGAAATCATTGATGGCGCTACTGGGAACAAATCATAAGCTGTCAACAGCTTTTCATCCCCAGACAGACGGCCAAACAGAAAGATTAAATCAGACCCTTGAACAGTACCTGCAAAGCTATGTCAATCATCAACAGGATAACTGGGTTCAGATCTTACCCATCGCACAGTTTGCATATAACAGCGCGATGACAGAAGCAACGAAAGTCTCACCGTTCTTTGCCAATTATGGCTACCAGCCAGAAGCATATAGGCAACCAAGACCGGATGAATCACGAGCTGAACAAGCCCTGATCGTGGTGGAACAACTGAGATCGTTCCACGAACAACTTGCGACGGACATCCAATTCTTAAATGAACGATCCGCCGCATACGCAACAAGAAGCGCAGTATGGAACCTGCCTTCAAGGAGGGGGATAAAGTATACCTACTCCGGAAACATATCAAAACGAAACGACCAAGCACAAAGTTGGACTTCAAGAAATTGGGACCATTCAAAATATTGAACAAAGTCAGCTCAGTTAATTACAGACTGCAGCTACCCAGGAAGTCTAGACTACACCCGGTATTTCATGTCTCACTACTGGAACCAGCAAGAGGAAATACCCCAGTTGCGACCGACACCGAACTCCAACCCGAGAATGAGATAATCGAATATGAGGTCGAAGCGATCCTAGACAGAAGGTTAGTAGGACGTCGAGAAGAGTTTTTGATAAAATGGGAAAATTACGAACCTACGGATAATTCGTGGGAACCAACAAGGAACATCAGCAAAGAACTGCTGGAGGAATATCGACGCCGCCATCCGCCAGCCATTGATCCCAAGATGCAGGGGAGTAGGCCAGTGGATCGGAGGAAGCGGAGGTCCCGGTCACAGACGAGGAGGCAGCGCTAACTGCCTGTTCCTCGACCTCAACAGCATCACGCTTCTCAGCAGCCACACGTTCGGCCTCCTCTGCCGCATCAAGCTCGTCGAGGGTTTTCAAACCTCGCCGGAGCATATCTTTACCACGGGTTCGGATGAGGCGTTTCTGCTTCCGCAGACGAAGTAACTTCGAAAGAGTTTCTTCCTCTTCGCGATCCAGGCGATCCTCCTCCCGTTCGAGCTTCACCCAGTCGGGATGCTCAGGACCCATACAGTCACACTTTTCTTTCAAGTTGCGACGAACGCACTCGGCGCACCGCCGCGAATCATTTGGAGACGACACGCAAGTAATGTTTCGCCTCACGCAGTTCGAGCAAGAATCCATTTCGGGTAGTTCGTATCCGTGGTTCTTTATTCGACGGACAAGATCGTTGCGTTCCTGGAGTTTGCGGGCAGTGTCAGTAGGCATGTTGCATGTTGAAGGACTCGCTGAGGAGCAGCAGAGTCCCGGGGACATGGACGTACTTATAGGATTCGAGACGAATGCCCAGGGGAAGGGAGCGAGTGTTACGACGGAACAAGAAGGCTGGCCAACTACAGGACAGGAAGGAGGGAGGTCGCATGAGTCCGGCCCTGGTACCTGGAGGGGCAGCGGGGAATAGTAGTTCCGAAAGTATCACGTGACGGACTCGCAGGATGATGAGAAGAGTCCTAAGAGTCCAGGACTCCGAGGACTCGAGTGAGTTCCCAGGAGTCCACTAGGCACGTGACAGACTCGCAGGATGATGAGAAGAGTCCTAAGAGTCCAGGACTCCGAGGACTCGAGTGAGTTCCCAAGAGTCCACTAGGCACGACGCCACTATATAAGTAGATAGTATTTCCTTAGATAGGAGCTTCGTGCTCAACTCAATACAGTATTTGTTATATACTAGTAACGTGTTACTTGAAGCCTTTGTGTCTGATCCCCTGCCTCCTCTGATAAGTAAACCTTTACGCAAGAGAATCTCTGTGTCTTCTATCGTTTAGAAGTCAGCGTTACACCGATATCTTTTGTGTCACACCTGAGGTGTTTATGACAAACTGGACAAATCCCGAGCATGGCTCGGAAGTGTTGTTAGCTGTCTTAATGCCAAGCATCTCCTGCTGGACGACTTCCAGGCCTAGTTGGCGACAGGTTGCCTCAGACATGATGTTGATCGAGGCTCCACCGTCTACCATACAGAGTGGCAGATCGTACTTTTGCCATCCACGGGCAACATCCTGTGGTGGTTCATCCTCCGAATGGTGTGCGGTTGACATCAATTGTCTTCGGGACGGGTGGACATATTGGCTATCAGGTGTGGCTGCATTTGCTGAAGGTCCTTGGGTTGAGGCGTTTCTCTGGTCGAGGTCCTTTTGACGGTTTGACTCGCGCTGTTCCCATGTAGCTTGAGGTAAGTTGCAATCTCGAAGGAAATGCCCGTACTTCCCACAATTATAGCACATTACTCTCTGAAGGGTATTTTGTGCCGTTTGGTCTTGCTTGTTTGCGTACGTGGTCGCATTAAAGCCTTGACGAGGAGGTCCTTGGGGCCGCGGACGAGGTTGTGACATAATTCGCTGGTTCTCAGCCAGTACCGATTGCTGTGCCCGTAACTCGTTCATCCCTTTGATAAGTGTGTCAAGTTTGTCTTCGTCGGAATTCAAACCCGTAGCACCTGCGCCAATGGTTTGCCAAGTAATTTCCTTCTTGGTCCCTTTTGTTACTGACGGGGTTGCGTCCTTTAGATCCAAAGTGCTTGTGATAAAGTTGACTATAAATGGCAGGTCGACAGTAAGGTCCGGGTTGGATTTCTTCTCGGCATTGATCCCGCTTCGAACAGCGAATCTGAGGGGGTCATGGCTAAGGCCCTCAATGAGTTGATCCCCGAGATATTCCTGCTTTTCCCAGTCTGTCAGGTGTGCCGAAAGGGTTTGAGCTCGACTAAGGTAGTCTTGAACCTTCTCTCCTTTGTCTTGTGACATTGTCATCGCTTTCTGTCTTGCGTCCTTTTCGACAATCTTTCTTGGGATTGGCGGGAAACGACTTCGGAGATCTTGACAGAATTTGTCGAAAGATATTTCGGGTATCCTGTTTAATAAGTCTGAGCCAAATGTTGCCGCCGCTCCTTTGAGGGCACCTTGTAACATCATAACCCGCGCAAACATCTTGTCTGTGGCTGTGGTGTCTGGTCCCCATCGTTTGCCAAGGCTTTCTGCTGCAATTCGCGCAGCCATAATTGAGACTTCGATGTTCTCCGTTGGCTCTCCTGAGAACGCCGGGACTTTCATTGCGTTTGCCATGTTTGATTCCTCGTCACTATCGTCGTCCGATTCTTCAGAGAGGGATTCGTACGGTGGCTCTAGTTGCTCTTCTGATGAGTGTACTGAGTCGAGTCCTCCTCCAACGTGGGAAAGATCTTCTGGCCTTGCGATTTCGATTTCTTCCGGTGATAAAGGGCTTTGCTGTGATGTTTGATCTTGCGAGGGGAATCTATGTGGTGGCGGGGTGTGTAGCGGTTCGTCAACAATGTCCTCTTCACGTGGTGCTGGTCCTGCCTCAGAGTCTGCTCCTGTCTCTTGGGGCGTGGACTGCGCGTCCTTCTGTTCTTCTGGAGAAGACACTTTGGGTGGTTGGCGGTTGACACCGTCTTATCCTTCTGTTTTGGATAGCGGAAAGTGATGACGTAGTTGAGTGGTGGGGATCGACTGTTCCTTCCCGTTTGGTTTCAGCAATAGGGCGCTCCTTCTGCCTTCTGGGTTGGGGTCGCGGCCTCCAACTTGCAGTTGCTGTCCAGTGCGTTGTCTCTTCGTGCCTTCCTCTGCCCCTTGTTTACTCCGACTGGGAGTCTTGGGCCAAGGTCGTCAAGTTCGGATTGACTGATAGGTTTTCGACTTCGATGTCGGCCGGTGGCTCTTCTCTCCTCGTGAGAGTATAATGCAATCTCTTCTCTTGCTTCTGCAAGACACGGCGCTCCTGACCTTCGGAGATCCTTCGTCTGTTGCTCTCGAGGCTGACGGTGCTTGATCTTTTCCGGAGATCTCTGGTGTAACGATGTTCACGGGTCGTTCAGAAGCCGTTATGGTAAGAATAGTTGCTCTTAGTAAAAGGTTGGATTCCTCCCGGATTGTAGGCCCCCAAGTGTAGCCTACGGAGCAACGTGGAATAATGTGTAACGGTGATAACGATGACGATCGTATTGCTATTCTTGATGATGCTCTGAAGAAGAGACAATCGGCTATCCGATGTTCTATCTATACTACGCTATGTCACGTGTTGGTTCACACCACGCAAGCTAACTGAAACTAGAACCTCGGCCCCGAGGCTTTGCTTGATCGATTTGCGGGGATTAACCCCAGAAATGCACCACTTCTTAAATGAATTCCGCGAGTCAAAATGGCCATAATGAGGGGAAGTAGCGCGGGGTTCGCAAGATCAGCCAGTTAAGGGAGGATATGACGAAGGCATTCCCGGCTCAAGTCGAAGTGAGAGGCAGGGAATGGCCAATTAGTCGGTGTTGTTTTAATATAATTTTATATCGTCGACAATTTTAAGATGGGAAGATGAGCACGGCGGGAGTTGGTGGGGAGGGCCTAGGCACTTGGAGAGGCTTGTCTGGCGCACTAGCAGCACTACTACTAGTGAAGTACGGAGTACCGTCACAAGAAGACGAAGGAGGATGATGGGATTGTTCGCAAGGCAATGATGCTACAAGAAGTATGCATCTCTTTTCTCTGCAAGGGATATAAGGAAGTGAAGAGTGAAGAGGGCCATGCAGGGGCAGAGAAGCAAAGAGAGAGAAATGGTAGACATCGAGGTATAATATTATAACAAACCCCAGATCGAGATAGGTGGAGATTGGCCAAGACTGGCAGGAGCGACCCGTCTTTTACATTTCTTAGTCGACCTTGTCAGCTTTATTTTCGGATTCCCCTATTTCTTAATAGAATAGGGGAATCGCCATGAGGGGTATTCCTTCCCCGTAGACGTGCATGGCCACGCCACGCCACGCCACCACACTTACCACGACGCCCACTCCTAGGACCACCACCCCTTCCTTCACGGTCATGGGAACGAGACGACCATCCACTCATAGCCTAGTAGAATGGCCAGGCCACCTTGGAATATTGGAATATTAGGACCAAAGGATGGGGAAGCGGAGAAATGCGAGGGTTTAGCGCAGCTGGCGGGTTTCTCATTAGTAGTCTCATCTAGTCCCAACACCAAAATATTGGATGTCCTAAATGTAACCCCTCGTTCTTTCTCTACCATTTGATCCCTACAGAGAAAGAAGTGATGGCACACACTCGATGATCGATGGGCATAGAGTAGCATAGAGTAGCATGGCATGAGCACCACCCTATCTTCCTAGACCCCCCCCTAGCCCCCTTGACATGCACACCAAAGCACTCACACCACGCGCAGCCATGCAAACGACAGCTCTTCCTGAAGAAAACAAGACTTAATATGACATGTGGATCTGCACTCCTAGCTCACTTCGATTTGCCATGTCTCCCCCCTATAAACCCCTTCCCTCCCCCACGGAGCTGATCTCTCAGGGCCCTAAATCAATCAATCTAATATATAGAACCCACACCACCCCCCGCCTTTCTTTATCGTCTCTGTGCTCACCTTCCTTCATCACACATCTAGAGCAACCTACCTACCATGGCCGATACAACGGCTTCACACGCGTCGTCGACGCCGCCGAATGAGAAGGCGAGCGCGGAACATCATGTCGAGGTTGTGTCGGACGGACCAGATAGGAAAGTCAAGGACGGGAAGCTCGAAGAGGGGAAGAATCTTGAGGAGAAAGGGTTCAGGATGGATGGGGACGACGAGGATCATGAACATGAGCCACCAGTAGGTTTATTTTCCCGCTTCTTGTCTGGGCGTGAGGTTTTGCGCTTGGGGATTTGTTTGGGAGAAAGTGAGAAGAGTGATTGTGTGGGACAGACAGAGACAGTTGTATTGTGCTGGGGAGGTTGCGCGAGACCGAGGGCGAGAATCTATAGCTAACAAGTTGTAGATGATCCTCAATAGGGCCATGTCCCTGGTTGCCATGGCGTTCCTGTGGACCAGCTCCCAGATCCCAGTCTACCTCTTCGGTGAGTCCATATATGAGACCCCCCTGACAGATTTGGTGCTATATGCCCTCGGTAACTAACTATCTCGACAGGCGGAATCCCTCCAATTATCTACGGCGACATTGGCGGCCCAGACCGCTGGATCTGGTTCGTCCTTGCGAACCTGCTCGCGCTCGCTGCCGTCTGCCCCTTCGTCGGCGCGCTATCCGATCTCTTCGGTAGACGCTGGGTTTCCATCGGCGGATCGATACTCATTATCATTGGCATGATTGTATGCTCTACAGCAAAGACGATGAACACATTCATTGGTATACCCCCCGTTCCCATGAACCATCGCGTTTAGGCCGTCACTTCCAGAACTAACAAACACAGGCGGCATGGCCATTGCAGGTGCCGGTGCAGGTGTTAACGAACTTACCGCCCTCGCTGCGACATCCGAGCTCGCTCCCACGGCCAAGCGTGGCAAATATGTCGCCGTCCTCGTGCTAACTATCCTTCCCTTCGCACCCTCCGTCCTTTGGTCGCAGCTGATATCCCAACACACCAGCTGGCGCTGGGTCGGTCTCCTATGCGGACTCTGGTCTTTTATCGGCCTTGTCATGGTCGTAATCTTCTACCACCCCCCGCCCCGCGTCAATAGCAACGGCCTCACTCACCGCCAAGTCCTCGCTCGGGTTGATTATGTCGGCGGCTTGCTCTCCATCTCCGGCGTCATCATCTTTATTGCCGGCGTGCTCTGGGGCGGCTATGGCTACACCTGGACGTCTGTCCACACCCTTGTCCCGATTTTCATCGGCGCCCTCCTGCTCGTCCTCTTTGTCATCTGGGAGATCAAATTCGCACCTTACCCCATGTTCCCGCGCCGCATTGGCAAGGACCCGCGAATCCTCGCCATGACGCTAGTCATTACCTTCATCTCCGGCGCCAACTTCTTCGCCGTCATCCTCTTCTGGCCTACCCAAGCATTCAACGTCTACGGCCATGACCCCGTTGGCGTTGGACTCCGTGGTCTGCCCGTCGGTTTCTCCATCCTCTTTGGCGCCTGCATCGTCCTCTGGCTACTGTCCGTCTTCCGTGGGAATAACCGCGCCCTCATGATCGGTGCCTCCATCATGATGACTGCCGGCACCGGCGCCATGGCCGCCGCCAACCGCGACAACCTCCCCGCTGTCTACGGCATCCTTGTCGTCGCTGGCCTCGGTATCGGCGGCATCGTCATCCCGGCATCGATCATAACCACCATCATCTGCCCCGACGACCTAATCGCCACCGTCGCTGCGCTCACACTATCCATCCGCGTCATCGGCGGCGCCATCGGATTCACCGTCTACTACAACGTCTTCTACGCTAAGCTCGTCCCCAAGCTCACGGCCTACGTCCTTCAAGTCTGCCTACTCAATGGCATCTACGACGAGGCCTCCATTACCATCATCGCCCAGCTCATCGGCGCCAGTCTCACGGAACATATTCTGCATGTCCCTGGTGTTGACGGCAATGTCACGAAGTGGGAGTTGATTATCCACGCGGGCGAGATGGCGTACGCAGAGGCGTATCCGTATGTTTATTACGCGAGTATTGCCTTTGGGTGTGTCGCGATCATTGCGAGTCTTATGTTGGGCGATATTAATAAGTATATGGATGACCATGTGGCGGTGGTTATCCATTAAGATTCATGTACTTATTTTTTCTAGAGATGGGAAGGAGGGGCGTTAGCCCCCTTTTTGTATCTGATGGTGGTGGTGGCATTATATACTGATCTAATCGTTCTTATGCTACAAATTAACACCACATTTTAGGATCTGAAAGCCTTTCGGTTTTTGAAGCAAGACTGTTTTCTTGTGATTCATGGCCTGTTGTCTCCATATCTATATTTGTCAACTTACCTACAAACGCCTTGGAGGCTGGATAAAAGTTCAATCCACCATCACTGCCCTTCATTATCGCTGCAGGGTCTGAGAGTACGGCAACATGTCTCACCACAACCCCTCATCACCTGGTGTCGATACTGTAGGTTAGAATACGCCAAAGCGTTGGGGTTCAGTTCAGCCCCTCCATGCTCAATATACTACATTAAATCAGGCCAAACGGAACCCAAAAAAATGAAACTTGTCTCGGATGATGCTCGTTTGGCCCATTTATTGCTCGTGAGTTCCAGATTTTGGGTTGCGGGATCATCCACACCAACCGGAGCGGGCCGAACGAACTTGGGACTCTCCGGTTTGGGACGAACCAATTATCTAGGATTATATAGGTGTGTATTGCGCTTGGAGGTTTAAAAGTTTTGCGATTGCTAGGGGTGATTAGAAAATGGGCAAAAACTCCATATAACGTACATGTATAGCGAAAGCGCCAAACAAGCGAAAGCGCCAAAATTATCTACCCTCACGACAAACATTGCGATAAATCTACCTCAACATTAGAAATCAATTGAAACTACTCGGAGTCCTCTTCCTCAGAGGTGTCTATTACAATCTGACACGTGCGCGCATTGTGCCCAGTCTCACCACACTTGCCACAGCGACGGGCACGGGTTTCTTCCCTTGGCTTCCGACCACGGCTTGCCCTTATTTCCTGCTCTACCTGCTGCACAACATCCCTCTCATCCTGTAGCTCTTGCGCCCCTTGTTGACTAAGTGATCCTCCTTGCTGTAGTCGTGTTTTCCTAGCTCTCCGGCGCTTGCTTAGTACTTCATTTGCCTGTCGTAGGTTTTGGTTCTCTCCCTTTAGCAGTGCTAATTGATGCATTATTTGCGATGCACCCTTTGTAAACTGGTCAACAGCTGCATAGATTGAGGTTGGAGAGCTATTTTGATGGCGTGAAATCCGAGTTTTAATAAATGTAGACTGTGACATAGCTTCAATTGGGTTGTTTGGTGTCTGAGAAACCCAAGGTTGAGCAGTACCTGGGCGGGAGCTTGGAGGCGTTGGTGTCCTTAACTTAAGATCAAGTGTAGATATCACTCTCTCAGGGTCAAATGGAAGAAGCCCTGCCCCTCGGAACCCGCCTCAAATGTTACTTTCCGTCATTGTAGTGTTAAATGCAGCGTGGAAGGCAGGAAAGAAGTCATCCTTTGTAATATGAGAAATATGAGCCTGCATCATATCTTCAATTTGCCGACCATAGGCCTGCTTTAACGGGCCGAAACAGCCAACATCAAGTGGCTGGAGTAGATGAGAAGAGTGAGCAGGCATACAAAGCGTAATAATGTTGTGTTCCTTGCAGTACTCCTCAAACTCATCTGAGTGGTGGCTCTCATGACCATCAAGGACTAACAAGCGATAACCACCAACACTCCGGGCCTTTGTATGCTTCTCAAAGTGCTGAATCCAATCCATGCCTCTCTCGTTTGTAGTCCAGCCATTTTCAGTAACAGAAATCACCCAATCGCTTGAAAATCCACTATTCTCATACCAAGATGTAAGGTGGTTTTTGCCTGCAACAATGATAAATGGTGGTACTGCCCAACCTTGAGAACTAACGCCTTGGATTACTGTAACCCATTCCCGATTACCAGGCTGTACCTTCTTTGCTTTTGCCCGCCCGTCTGAGCTTGTTACAACCATAGCAGTTGAGATAACGCCCATCATAAACCCAGTCTCATCAAAGTTGTAGATATCTGCTTCATCGATACCATATTTCGCAATTGTGTTACGCACAAGCTCAAACCAGCCATTAATAACTTCTGGATCTTCGCACTTAGCCCTCTGGTAGTCGTATTTGCGCTGAAAGCGTGTCTGGAGCTCTACACTCCGCTTAACAAAGTTTGAAGCCCAACGCGACCCAACGCGTGACGCGTCACGTGTTGCAAGTAGTCGACTTGCCATATCTTCAACAACAGACAGCCGAGGAGGAAACCCTTTGGCAGCTAGGTCGAGTATATACTGAACAAGGACGGACTCCTCTAGGTTAGTTAATTTCCGTGAGTTGGCTTGGATATCGCGTCGTGAAGGTACACCTTCTAGACGACGACCTAGCTTGCGGTGGTCCACAGAATAGATCCTAGCAGCAACTCGAAGGCGTAACTTTGGGTCGCTTTGCATAGCCTGGATAGCTAGCACTAATTGGCTTTCATCGTTTTTATGGGGCATGTTTTGTTGTTGAGGAATTTAACATTTAGTTGGGGGGTTTGGTCACCGCATCATTCTGGCGCTTTCGCTTGTTTGGCGCTTTCGCTATACATGTACGTTACCCAGTAAATAAATTCTATATACCCAGTTCCATCCCACGTGACCCGCCCAAGCCCAATCTAGTGTTGGGGGAAACGGACAATCCCATGGGAATACGGTAGTCTTTTGCGCCCAAAATGGCACTTTTCTCCATGGGACTGTCTAGTTCCCCAGTCGGTCAGAGTACTGAGCTGAGGTTTCAGCTCTGTGTATCACTTCGGTTTGGGTGTAGGAACCCAAACCCTCGGGGTTTTGGGGGTTTCCCCCAGGCTGTAGGCCATCGTATGAGGCAGGGGCGGGGGAGGCAGGGGAGTTTGTGCCTCGTGCGAGGGCTTCTGAGGGGGGTTTCTAGGGGGTCAGAGGAGGGAGGGAGCCTGGGAGGTGTCAGCGGGGTTCTGTGGTGGAGGGGAGGAAGGGAAGGGAGAAGAGGTTTGGGGGTCTCAATTGACCCCCGACTTACCATGCAATTGAGCTGGTATATTGCCAGCTCAATTGCTTCAAAAAGGCCATATGAGAGCACGTACTCTCAAATGAGAGTACGCCTCTCATTGGCTCGTTAACCTTTCCAAAGGAGGGTTAGCGGCTGACTGGGTAGATGGAGTTTTCTCATCAGGTTACCGGGTATATCGAGTTTTTGCCCTTAGAAAATTATGTTGGAGCTGGTACCATACTACTGATTTTGATAGACATTCGAGCCTGATATGGACAAGACATGATTCTCAACAACCCCAACTGACCACAGATATGGTTTTCATAATGGGAACATTATGGGATAGACCACCCTCTGAATTAGACACTGTAGCTTAGTTCATTAGCTACTGGGAACGCCATATACCATATTAGTAATATCGGGCCAAATGTAATGGTGGGTGCACCAGATGTGAGAATCTAGCCACCCAAGGAAGGGATGATTTTACTAAGACAACACACTGTCTTAGGAAACAGAGCCAAAGGGTTGTAGCTTAGACTATTCCACAATGCAGCAATCAGGTGTGTGATGTAGTGAAGTGGTTCAGACAAGTTGCAACAAATGTTGAGTCTGGGAACTCAGGGGTAAGTCAGAGGTTAACACCTCACTGACTTTTCAGAAACAAGGAGTAACAAGATCAATTCTTGGAAGCTTGGAAAAGACGTGGAAGTATGTGATAGTCGATTTACTGTATTGTCTGCTTGCCCTTTCTTAAGGAAAGGGCAATCCTATTTATGCTAAAGGGGTGTAGTTCTCTCATTTTCCAAGACTTTCCATGACTAACCAGGCTTGGTAAATGTATTAGAAATCAAGTGCGACCCACAACTAGCTTGCTAATCATGTAGCGAATGTAAGAGAATCCCATAGAACCATCTCTTGGGTTTCTAGCCTATAGGAAGTGAAAAGGAGGTCCAAGGTCAGAGTACCTATAGATAAATTATGTCATAACTTAACCAATCTTGTGGGTAACTAAGGAGCGATGACGTGTAATGAATCATAGAGGGTTGTAGAAGCTTCTAGAGCTATCGTTCATGTTCCTAGGCCTCTAGTTGGTAGAGATATGCCATGTGGTAGTATTGGCCCACCCCCTTAAGGAGGAGATTTTCTTAATAACTTGTTGAATGAGTGTCCAAATGATATGCCGTGATGTATGTAGCATAAACAGATGTAGTAGAAGAGTTTGCAGCAATCGTTGAGTAGTATTGCTTCTGTTGTTGGTGTGATAAGCCAAGATATGTATGGTGACTTGTAGGTTTGAGGAGGAGATTTCTAAGTTTGCTCTTGAGTTTGATAGCAAACTGAGTGCAACTAATGTCAGTATGACAAGTTTGCTCTTGAGTTTGATAGCAAACTGAGTGCAAAGAATGTCAGTATGACACTTCATATAGATTGTAATATGTTAACTTAATGGGCACAATGCTTTGTATAGCGCCAACCTAAGCTTATCATCTGTTTTCGACATCGAATTGATTAGTAGAGGGCTAAATGCAAAGATCCTAAGGTTGTACAAGCTTGGTTTGTGTAAGGATGCCTCCGTACCTAGATACTTGAAGAACCTGTCTCAGAACTGTTACGGTCACTACAAGCATGGAATCCGACTCAGTGGGGTTTCAAACCAGTAGAGGAGCATATAGCGAGTTACACTATAGTGGGGGACGGTAAGTGTATAGGGTTCAGGGCCGATGCAGACCTGTTGCGGTGGAAGGTTCAGGGCTAGGGTTGGGATAACCGAGTCGGGCCCGTTTCGGGAGTTAAGGAAACAGACTCAACGGGGTTCCCCCTTCATCTTTTTTGTATCCTTCATAGTAGACCTATAGGATAGCATCCATTTAGCCTCTGACTCGCACTCTCATATGCTATTACTGTGAGCTGGGTGCCCTGTGTCCTTACAGTTTGCCCTTGTACAGAACACAATTGCTAAATACAACATCTAAGAGTTAGACACCTACAATTTTGATGAGACTAGGTTTTTAATAGGCATGCTCTTAAGCGCAAAGGTGGTTACAAGCTCTAAACAACATGGCCAGCCCTATACAAAGCACCCTGGTAATCAGGAATGGGTTATAGTTATCTAGAGTGTGTAAAGACAGCTAGGTAGTACCTTCATACAAAGTTGTAAAAGGCAAATACCACCTCCTTCATTGGTACTAGAATGGCTAATTCCTAAAGAACTAGAGGATTCATACAAGCGAAAATGGTTGGACTACAGACGAGATTGGCCTAGTTTAATGCCTCCTAGTCCTTGATGGACACGAAAGCCACTAGTTAGTTGATTTGAAGATTACTGTTAAGCTAACAACATTATCACACTCTACATGCCTCCTCATTCGTCTCACTTCCTCTAGACTCTTGATGTTGGCTATTTCAGCCTACTTAAAGCCTCATATGTCAAGCAAATTGAGAAGATGATGAGGATGCAGATTACACATATTACTAAGGATGACTTCTTTGCCCCTTATATACAGTAGAGTCCCACTAAGCCGATGCTCGGTAAGGCGATGTTCGTGATAGTGCGATATTTTTTCTCGTCCAGATTCAAAACACGTTGGATAACATGGATAACATAATATCCATGATATCCAATGTTATCCATCACATGACATTCCATGGATCGCTGTGGATAACATGGATAACATAATATCCATGATATCCAATGTTATCCATCACGTGAGGTTGCAGCTGTAAGCGATAGCCATAGCACTTAGCCGTAACAGTCAGGCCATGTTCCAGTGCAGAGTCGAGCAGCTGTTGAGATAGCTGAGGAGTCGTCGACACTGTCAAAATGCTTGCTGAGTGACTCTGAGACTGTTGATTGACTGAGGGAATGGTTATATTTGTCCTTAAACCACCGGTGACAGGCCTTTTGTGAGGGTCGAGGGTATTGTCAAGAATGCCACTCTCTGAGTGCACGATACTGCTCAATAGTGATGGGCTTATTTCGAGGCATAGCCAAATGGTCCACTAGAATATTGGATAAGGCGATATTTAGGTGGTAACAGAGCAATATCATGGATATCGGTCGTTATCCCTTTGGCACGACGCCACTATATAAGTAGATAGTATTTCCTTAGATAGGAGCTTCATGCTCAACTCAATATAGTATTCTTTACAATACTGTAACGTGTTACTTGGAAAGCCTTTGTGTCTAATCCCCTGCGTCCTCTGTCAAGTCAACCTTACGGAAGAAACCTCGGTGTCTTCTATCGTTTAGAAGTCAGCGTTACACTGACCTTGAGGAGACGGGACTCTACTGTAGAAGCATTTAATGCTTATTGATGCTGAGGCTCGAGGGATGTCTAAAATGGCACATGAGTTAGTGTTGCTACGGGAGGGGGCAAGGGACCTCCGTGCTGCTAATGAGGTGCTTAGCAAGCGCCAGAGGGCTAAAAAAAAAAACTGCAGCTAGGAGGGTCACTTAGTATCCAGGAAGTAGAGGATTTAATGGCTGAGAAGGAGGTGGGCAAGCAGAGGAAACTCGTTGTGGTAGTCGTCGTATAGAGGGGGCTGAACGGCGTGCGCGGCGCTGTGGCATCCGCAGCAACACTGGCCATAACGCGTGAACCTGCCAGGTAGTAGTAGTTACGTCTGATAATGACGAATCTGAGTAGTTTTAATTGATTTAAAGTGGCGGGTGGTTGTACAGCTGTTCTGCAGTGTGAAGGGTTGGATTAAGTGGACCATTCGGTGTGTTGGACTGTTCGGTGTATATACGTTATATAGTATAAGAGCGCCTCGTATTCCCCCCACAATTCTCAAACATTACCCGCGTCTGTCTTCGCCGTTTCTGCATTAATGCGTCTCTCTAAGACGCTGATCCCCCGTCCTGCGTATATCCCCATCTTCATTGACGGGCGAACATTTCCCAGGATGGTTCAGCACTTGTTCCAATCCCTTGCCGTTGCGGCTTTAGCAATCACTCGTGTCACGGCCTGCGATGAGTGTTACGGGCCGACCGACTTCATCATCCACGAGCGTGTTGTTCGTCGCATGCAACCGGATGCGCAGGGTGCTACATATGGCCCGACGCAAGAGCTCGAATGGGGCCAGATCAACTTCTTGCAGACGACCGACACGCATGGCTGGCTTGAAGGCCACATCAAGGAGCAGAACTATGGCGCGGATTGGGGAGACTTTGTGTCTTTCACGAGGCATATGAAGGCCAAAGCTACACAGCTGAACGTTGACCTGCTGCTGATTGATACTGGTAACTCTACCCGCATACGGTCCTGGCGATTCATTGCTGACAGAGTCAAGGCGATCTTCATGATGGCAATGGCATGGCCGATGCCACCAGTCCCAATGGAGCGGCCAGCAACCCAATCTTTGAGAATATCCCTTATGACGTCCTTACGATTGGCAACCATGAGCTTTACGTCTCCGACATTGCCTATGAAACGTTCGCAGACTTCTCCACGTTCTACGGCGACCGCTATGTCACCTCAAACGTCCAGATATTTAACCAAAAGACCAACAAGTATGAGTATGCCGGATCAAAGTACAGATACTTCACCACCGACCATGGAATTCGCATCGTGGCATTCGGAGTCCTGTTTGATTTCACGGGTAACTCCAATGCCAGCATCGTCACTCCTGCTGTAAAAATGGTTAAAGAGCAGTGGTTCCTCGACGCCCTGGATATTGACCGCCCAATTGATATGTTCCTCGTCATCGGACATAATGCAATCCAAGGTTCTACGAGCACCACTGGCACGGTCCTAACCGCAATTCGCGCTGTGCACCCGGACAAGCTTATTCAGGTTTTCGGAGGCCATACCCACATTCGCGATGCTGTCATTTATGACCATGCCGCTGTTGGCATTGAGAGCGGGAGGTACTGTGAGACTGTCGGATGGATGGCGATTTCTGGAATTGAGTCGAAGAACTACTATGGCGCCAGTCTTCCCGCAGGAGTGTCGCATCCGACGAAATCCGCATATGATAAACCTACATCGACTTCAACCGCAACAAGCTCAAAAACCTCCACAGCTGCTACCAAGCAAGAGAATAAAGTCACGCCAGTTCACCCCGAGCACCCCAAGCACCCCGATCATCCTGGTAAACCCAGTGGTTATCGCTTTGCTCGTCGCTACCTTGATTGGAACCGTCTCACCTTTGCCTTCCACGCTGAGAACTCCCAGGACAAGTCTTTTGATCTCCGTCAAGGTGTCGATATAACCAATCACATCACGGACACTCGCAAAAAGTTGAACATGACGTCTTTATATGGATGTGCTCCCCAGACGTGGTGCATGTCCTGCCTACCTTTCGGCTCTCCAGGGAACATATATACTCTCCTTAGCAAGGCTCTTGCGGCTGTTATAATCAACCCTGACAGATCGACAATCCCTAGGATTGTTATAGCGAATACGGGCAGCGTTCGCTTTGACTTGGTCCAGGGGCCATTTACGTACGACGATTCGTTTATCGTGTCGCCATTTACGAATACCTTCAAATACATCCCTGACATGCCTTGGTCCGTCGCCTCGCGGCTTCTGAATGCCTTAAACGGCGGCGCATACCAGAGACGAAGTGAGAAACTGGAGGCGGATATGGACCTCGGATTTCAATTCCCAACTCGGGACAACACAGAGGCGTGTCTTGATCCAGGCACGGTCTCGCCAGGATTGTCGAAACGCTCTACGAGGGAAATAGTGCGCAGGCAGAGCAGCACTTTGACGCCGGGATACAACACCACCGATGATTTCGGCAACGACGGTGACGATACCAAGCACAGCGCGATCCCGTACTTCCCCCAGCCATACGACTTCCAAGCCAACGCCTCTTTCCCCGCCGATGGGTCCGCGCCTGCAACAGTCGACGTAGTCTTCCTCGACTTCATCGGCAGTTACGTTATCCCGGCCCTGCACAAGATTCCGGGCGGAGAGAAATACACCAGTGCAGACTTCAAGAACTATCTACCCCCGACGTTCCTTTCCAACCAGTACCTCCCGGAGTACGCGAAGATGGCTCCCGACTGGCAGAAGGATATGCCGAATTGCCCAGTTGGAAAGGGCGTTGGTTTTGCGAAGCATTGAAAAAGTATCGAGCTGGTGTAGACAGGTTTAAGAGGATGTACTTCTAGGGGGTGACAGATATACTCTGATTTATTTAGTGTAGGAAAGATAATATCAAGATCGCTCTGTGATACGGATTTGGGCTGAAAATGCGCCATTCTAGCACCCCATTTAAGTCACCTCAGACTATGACCCGATGTTTCCTCGCGAAATGAGGTTTCGAATAGCCCTTTACACAATATATAACTGTTTTCGTGGAACCGGAATACGCAACACATTGTACAGTAGCAATTTGTAACATGGCGGAAATTTAATTTCCATTGAAAATTGTAGAACGGTTAAAAAAATGCGCCCCCGAAAATATGCCCATATCCATTTAATCTAACGGAATGCCCTCGTACTCTGCGAATCCTAATGCCAAGTTCATATTCTCTGTTCTCGCCGTTAGCTTTGTATCTCCCTGCATACCAGATCACAGGGATGGAAATTGGGAAGAGCACCTACGTAAACACTGTGTCGCTGCCCCCTTCAGTAGGTTATCAATTGTGGCACACACAACCACACGCTTGCCTGAGCTATGTACCCCAAAGCCACCAACCTCAACACCGTGCTTCCCGCTGATCGCTTTGACGCTCGGAGGCTCCCCAGTTACCCGTACGAGCTTTTCTCCTGCATACCGGTCCTGGTATATCTGTCTGATGTCTCGGCTGCTGAATGTGCGGTCAAGCGGCACAGAGATTGTGTGGTGGATGCCCTGGAACCACGACGCGACGTGCGGGATGAACGCAACTTCAACGCCGAGCTGGTTGCTAACTTCACGCTCGTGGATGTGATCAGTCAAGGAGTAAGGGATGAGGTTGTCCCGTAGGTTCTCGACGTCGTTCTTAGGGGACGGCTTTGTGCCCGCGCCGGAGTATCCCGAAACACCAAAGACAGTTGGTTGCCCGCCAAGGAACTCAACAAGCGGCGCAATGCCAATCTGTGCCGCGGTTGCGTAGCAGCCGGGGTTGGCGATACGCTTCGCCCTTGCGATATCTGAGCGCGAGACGAGCTCGGGGAGGCCGTAGGTCCACTTCGAGTCGAACCTGTAGTCAGCAGAGAGGTCGACGATGACGGAGTTCTGTGGCCCGCGGCCCTCCTCCACGGCTTCGACAAAGGGCTTGCACACGCCGTTCGGGAGCGCCATAACCCAACAGTCTACCTCAGCATTCTCTTCCATGCGGCGCACGTCTTCGGCAGAAAGGTTCTCGTAGGTGATATCGCGCTTCTCGTAGCCCTTCAGCTTCTGGCCCGCTAGCTCACGCGATGACACGTGGCGGAGGTCCATGTTAGGGTGGGCATTGAGGAGGGCAATCAGCGCTTGCCCGGTATAGCCACGGGCACCGATGAGAGCTACCTTTGCAGGCTGGGAGTTGGAGGAGTTGTGCTTGCCAAGAGGGGGGTTGGGGTTTGTGGTGGTGTAACCGCGGGTTTGGGTTGTGCGGCCGCGGATGATACGCGACGTTGGGCGGGCCGAGGTGGAGAAGGCACGAGCTTGTTGGAGGGGAGCGTTTGGTCCAGATATGGCTGACGCAGCATTGGCGGCGCGGTATAGCCTCTCATCAAGGTTTGCTTCGCCATGCATCGAGCGTCCGTGCTTGGTGAACTCGGTCATGAGCTGGGTCACTTCCTCAGCGGACTCGGTGCCATACCAGAACATGACATGGCCGTCCTTGGTGAAGCTGCCCTCTGCCTTGTCAAAGAACCATGTCAGGTTCTCGTCATCCTCCTTAACGGTGAAGACGAGCTTAGGGTGGTCTTTTCTGATCGCCGCAAACACATTGTCGGCGACGTTGGTGAGCCAGCCAGACTTGGTGATTGTTAATGTAGCCAGATTGGCGATGCCTGAGGAATCGATGGGCGGCTGCACGATGGCAAGCGCATCCATTGACTCGTCAAAGTATGCCTTAAACTGCTTGTCCTTGAGGCCATCGACGTAACGGTTAACTGTCGCACGCGCATCAAGAGCCTCACGGTCGCGAACAAGGACATCCTTGAGCTGCTCAATGTCCTCAAATTGGGACAAAGACGTCGCTGTATCAATCTTACTGCCTCGTCGGATGAGGGTTCCGGCACCAGTATCCGTAAACAGCTCCTTTTGCAAGTCAGCCGGGTGGATGATTGCAACACTGGAGGTTCGTGGCAAATGCTCAAGGAGCTCCTTGATCTCCTTAATCTTCAACCTGGTTCCATATCTGCACCACCACTGTGACATGAGATGCTCAAACTCTTCATCCAGGTTGATCGCCGAAATCTTCTCGTTCGTGTCCGCGTTGAAGAGGCCACCCTTCTCCGATAGGTAGACAATCTTGAGTGGCTGGAGAGACTTGGCCAGCTCTCCTGCCGCCACGTCAGCATTGACATTCAACACCTGTCCGTCGGGTGTCTCGGCCATGGACGTAAGAATCGGAAGGCAACCAGCATTGATAGCCGCCTCGATCGGGTCCTTGTTTATCTTATTGATCTTGCCAACCAAGTTCCACTTGTCCTTATCCAAGTAGTCCGCTCCAAACACGCCGCTTGTGACCGGTCGGGCACGTACACCCATCTCCTCCAACTTCTCAACCAACTTCAGGTTCTCCTCCAAAAAGAGTTTGCGCGCAACTGCCAGGGTCTTGCCGTCGGTAACACGAATGCCTTCCTCGAATTGCGGCTCGACTCCCGCATCTTCCAACAACTTGTTCAGCTGTGGGCCAGCACCGTGGACCACCACAGGGAAGAGCCCGACATTTGTAAGGAGCGCAAGCGCAGAGGTGAGAGATTCGAGATGCTCGGTTATGATCGCACCGCCTACTTTAATGACGGCGAACTGTTGGGAGGAGACGGACGAGAAGTGCGAGAGGTATTGCTGGACCTCGCGCTTCGAGCCGATGTTGCTGAGCAACTGAATGACTGTCGATCTAGTCGTGGTATCAGACCCAGGGGCGGAGTATTGCCTCTTCGTAACGAGAGCGGACGACACAGCAGCCCTTGGGAGGCTCGAGGGTAGACGGCGACTGGAGATGACGATGCGGCGCCCGGCGAGGCGGGCGGAGGCTTGTAGAGCTAGCATTGTTGAAAATGAAGGACCTCAAGCCCGCTGGGGAGCAATGGGACTCTGCCTTGCTTGGGGCGAGAGGGGCAGCGTTATCAATAGTTGACTGTGACCAAGCACAAGAGGGTAAAGGTATGCGGGGATAAAAGGTTCAGAAATGCCGCTCTTGTGGCGGATTGGAGGCTGTGATTGGCTGGCTACCTATCAGCGGCCGAAATATTCAGACAAATGGGGGGAAATATACACAATTCGCTCAAAATTAAAAAATAACCCCCAGTGAGCGTCCCAATGGTATATTTGATTATGTTTTGGGGATTTTTGTGTTCAGTTTTAACAGTCAGAGGTTCTTGGTGCTGTTCCTTAGGCCGAAGTCGCAGCCCAGGAGATCGGCAACCCGATTGGCCAAGCGTCCGCCGTGGTTATCGTTTTGGTCTCTGAACTGGTGAGGACCCGAGCACATCTCTTATTTTTTAAAGCCTGCAATAAGCTACATAGGATATTGACGGAATCTATTTGTATGGACAACTGTGTGGTTGTAGGATTATTTGCATGGGATCTCAACACTGGGGGCGCATACCATTACCACCTCGGCGGCCGGATGCCTTGGAGCATACGGCACATCAACATAACCCACAGACATCACGGTGGTGCGACAACGAGAAGATGGCTTGCCAAAACTTCGATTTAGGCACCAACTTAAAAGCAGACGTAACCGGAGATAATACAAGCAACTCAATTAGTTAGGTGGGCAATCCTCCTGCCGCAATGATAGATACATAACAACGCTGGGTCGTCTCTTCGTGACCATATCCCTCGGGTGGGTAAGACGCCCAGATCGCATTGCCCAAAATCAACACGAGAACAAAAAGCAACGAAACGACTGTGGAACTCCTTTGTCACTAGCCGGCCCGCCCATCAATACTGCCTCTCGAGCCAGCGAGTTTCAGGTCCACCTCTGCAGGCATACGTATGACGATCGTGGGCGATTGATATGCTCAACGCGCTGCTCGTAAATAGGCTGTCCCCAGAGAAAACGAACTACTTTGAGAAATGCGTAGCTATTTGGATTGTCAGTCACTGCAATAAAGGGGGAGGGGGAGGGTGATAACGTACCGATTGGAACAACAATGATAAGGATCAGGATGAGGATTCCAAAGCCCAAAATGAATTTCCACTTCATATTAGACCTCCACATCTTTTGCCTGACTCGGTTTGCTCCTTGGTTGAACCCTTGCGCCGAGACGGCCAGATTGTCCGTCTTATCTTGAAGTGAGTTCAGGTTCTCTCCACGTTGCGCTAACTTGTCCACATTGTGCTGCATCTTTGCGGTTGCCCCATCGATCTCCTATAGTGGCCGACGTTAGCGGACACTCAGTCTACACGAAGGAAAACATCAAGCTAATATTTGATTTGTGAATTTGGGCGCAAGTAATGTCGCGCACACCTAGTAATGCAATGGTCGTACTCCCCACGGTCTAGCCAACAGTTCTGCCAACTAGAGCCATGTTGCATCCCATCAAAGACCGCGTGTCCTCTCCTTGTAGTCGTCGGCAGGTCTGGCCGCCGACATTTTGTCCGTTGCAGCACTCCAGCAACTGGTACAGTCGGGTCTACCTGAGACTCCTCGGAATATTGTGGTCAGACTTACTTGTTGAAGTTGTTCTGTGTCCACATGGGCCCTCGGTCCTCCTCTCGCTGAGCCGGCCGCATTGCCACTCGGTTGATAAGGGTCGTATGGCTGGCTCGACATCTTGAGTTCAGGGGGTTGAGGACTCGTTGATAGGTTTTGTGTATTGAGGTGAACAGGTCGTATGAAGTGTATTTGTGGCTTGAGATGTAGAGGAAGTTTGGATGGTGGTTGTGATGGATGAAGTTGTTGCTGAATTGATGATGACTGGAGTCCGGGGGATTAGTGAGACGTGACGAAGAGGCGAGTGGCTGAGGCAAACAGATTCGCAACGGATCTTCCGACAAGGGTTTTGGAGAAAAGATTCAACCTTCAACACCTGAAAAGCCTTAAAATATGGTCATAAGAGGAGGGCTGTTCGCCTTTATCACAATAATACCACTTCACATTCACTGGTACTATATTATAATCAAGAGATATGCTACACGTCACCTCCATCTGTTTCTCGATACTTCTTGCCACGTGACCAGTAAAAAAAATCTAAAATGTGGCTGAAGTAAGATCACGTGATGTGGATTCAGCATACGGAGTTATAAATAGACAATCACGTGTGCCATGTACAGCAACATCCATCACCAACTCGCTGTCTAAATTTCAAACGAGCTTCATCTAGTTGCCATATTCCTCTTTTTGGGAAGCGCTCACCTCACTGCAGAGCCGATCGATAATGTTTCTCGAGGATTAATGTTCCTTGGGCCGCTAGCAGTCGCAGCCCTGGTTTTAAAGTGGGAAGACTAAGCTGGCAGGTGTTCCCCTTTTAACCTTAGTTCTCATAGTCCTCCTTGAGCATATTGTACCTTTTGCAAGTTTTACGGGTTTCTTCTTGTCATCTTCATGATCCAATTTGATAAAGATTGCGGATTGTACTTGTGCCTTTCCGGAGCTCCATATGCTGTATATACTAGAAACTAAGCCGCGGCATGGGCTATGGTAAGCTTAAATGCGACTATATAACTATCTAGTCAATGGTCACACCACTTATTTTCGAAGGCCACTCCTGAACAATATGGCCAGATCAAACGCACCCCCAAAGCTTAGCGCCCCGTTTCCTTTTGTCCCTTGGACCTTTCCTTGGGAATCAAACTATCCATTGTCAGCTTATATGCATCTACTTACGATAGTATTTCTTGACGCCCAGCTCAGCCATTGGCCATTCTCTTGCCTATAGGAAGTTAGGACAGCTGGATGCTCGTGTAGCCCCGGGTATGTCACGTACCTCGACAACTTGAGCAGGTGGAGTTATTCAGCATCATGATCCTCAATAGGGTTATAGCTCTTCTCAGTGGAGCCTTACTATATATCGCTAGCATTTCATCTGCCATCCATGTTGACCTTTCATCCAGTGGTAGTAGCTATTCCATGAAAAATACCTATAATGGAACTGTCCATTACTCATAAGCTGACATCAATATAGATACTATCAAATCATCGGCCAAAGTTCTTGCAGGCGATATGCTGAGCCACTATCACGGCAATGAACCAGGCCAAATACCAGGAAATCTTCCCTACCCCTACTACTGGTGGGAGTGCGGAGCCATGTTTGGTTCTCTGATCGACTACTGGCTTTATACAGGTGACTCGGCACACAACGATCTCGTCACCCAGGGAATGCAATTTCAAGTGGGTCCAAATAATGATTTTATGCCTCCGAATCAGACCAAGACGCTAGGGAATGATGATCAATGCTTCTGGGCACTCGCTGCGATCTCCGCCGCCGAATCAAATTTCCCAAACCCGCCAAAGGATAAACCGCAGTGGCTTGCACTCGCCCAAGCCGTTTTCAATACTCAAGCACAACGTTGGGACAAGTCAACATGCGGCGGAGGCCTTAAATGGCAGATATACACCTTTAACAACGGCTACACATACAAGAACACAATTTCTAATGGATGTTATTTTAATCTCGGCGCGAGATTAGCCTTATATACGAGGAATGATACATATGCGGACTGGGCCACCACAACGTGGAACTGGATGTCGGAAATTGGCTTAATCGATGAAGAATATGCCGTTTTTGATGGGAGTGACGAGCTGAAAAATTGTGATTCTATCAATCGCGTACAATGGAGCTACAATGTTGGGGTTCTGCTTAACGGTGCAGCAGCTATGTATAATTATGTCAGTGCTTTTCTCATTCTTGCCCTTACCTTCACTACCGGTATAATCATCAGCCTTCTGGTGTTAGCCTTTAAACAAATGTTTATATTCCCTGCTGACTATTCCCAGACTGGTGGCACCGACACTTGGCGTCGACATACTTCTGGACTACTCAAAACCACGTCCTCGACATTCTTTCGCGATAAAGTTATGTTTGAACCTGCCTGTGAACTTGATGACACCTGCAATACGGATCAGCTCTCCTTTAAGGCTTATCTTAGTCGGTGGATGGCGGCTACCACTAAATTAGCCCCATTTACATATGGCACCATTAAACCTTTACTAAGGGCCTCCGCGGAAGCTGCTATGTCGCATTGCAACGGAGGTAACAATGGACGAACCTGCGGCCTGAAGTGGTCGAACTGGGGAAACTGGGATGGCTCTGATGGAATCGGTCAACAGATGGCGGCGTTGGAGGTGTTGCAGAGTAATCTTATTCATGCAACCAAAGGACCCGTCAGTGAAGAGGATGGCGGTACAAGCCAGGGGAATCCAAGCGCAGGGGGTGATGGTAGAGGGAATAAAGATGTAAAAGCAGGGCCATGGTCTCAACCTGCCGGTGTAGGTGACCGTGTCGGGGCTGGAGCCTTGACCGCTGTGATGGCGGCCGGAGTTGTTTGCGGGGTGTGGTGGATTCTTTGCTGATAATAGTTGACATGGGTAAACGATTTAGATATTACTAGACAGACGGATTATTAATACATAATTTATTCCTTTATCTCTATCGTATATAGCCAGCTTGTCAATTGCAGACCTAAGTGACTAGGGGCTTTATTTTAATTACACTTGCTAAAGCCACTAGCTATTGTATACTCTCTCTTTAGACTTGAAAATGATATTGATTGAATATAAAACTATAGTTATACTCAAACGAAAGAAACCTAACCATCATGGCACTGTCGCTAAATATGCAAAATATTGTCCGCCCACTGCACTGTATCGTAGACACCCGCTGGCATCGATTTAAACCCCATAAACATGAGCTCTAATAATATCGCCCTTGGTGTAAGGCATCATGTGAGGCCACCCTGCACTCAGGGGCTGCCTGGCAGTGGAGCCACTAGGGCTCGGTAAACTAGGGCATGTAGAAACGTAGGATATAAGGAGCTGGAAGCCTCAGAAGGAGGCCTCCAGCCGATAGTCGCTGTATTTACGTAGACCTATTGTCCTTACGAATACGATACCCCTTTCCTGCCCCTTGACCTAGTTCCCTGGACTCCTGTGAGACCTTGGGCTTACGCGTTACAATTCTATTGGCTCAACCCACATACAGCCTACCAGGTCAGGATGGCGAGCCAGGAAAAACGGATTACTCGAGCGACCTCTGGGGGGCGACACCAGCGACTGAGGCCACTGAGCCAGCTCTAAGAGCTACGCCCGTAAAAGTCAGCCACTCTACAGCAGACCGGGGCAAGAGCATGGCCTCGAAGTTGGCTGACCTTCAGAAATGAATGGACAACGAAAGGGCTTACATCAATACCATGGAGGAGGCCCTAGAGCTATTACGAAGGACACATGGCGACAACTACGACGCCTACCCTGAGGCTGTACAGGATTTTGCGAAGAAGAAAGCCCTGATCAAAGAAGAGGGTCGTCGAAAGAGGTCACACCAGGATACCGAAGACGAGTGGGAGGACCCTCGCCAGGAGGGGCTGGAAATGTGTCATACTGACATTCGTTGCACTCAGTTTGCTATCAAACTCAAGAGCAAACTTAGAAATCTCCTCCTCAAACCTACAAGTCACCATACATATCTTGGCTTATCACACCAACAACAGAAGCAATACTACTCAACGATTGCTGCAAACTCTTCTACTACATCTGTTTATGCTACATACATTACGGCATATCATTTGGACACTCATTCAACAAGTTATTAAGAAAATCTCCTCCTTAAGGGGGTGGGCCAATACTACCACATGGCATATCTCTACCAACTAGAGGCCTAGGAACATGAACGATAGCTCTAGAAGCTTCTACAACCCTCTATGATTCATTACACGTCATTGCTCCTTAGTTACCCACAAGATTGGTTAAGTTATGACATAATTTGTCTATAGGTACTCTGACCTTGGACCTCCTTTTCACTTCCTATAGGCTAGGAACCCAAGAGATGGTTCTATGGGATTCTCTTACGTTCACTACATGATTAGCAAGCTAGTTGTGGGTCGCACTTGATTTCTAATACATTTACCAAGCCTGGTTAGTCATGGAAAGTCATGGAAAATGAGAGAACTACACTCCTTTGGCATAAATAGGATTGCCCTTTCCTTAAGAAAGGGCAAGCAGACAATACAGTAAATCGACTATCACATACTTCCACGTCTTTTACAAGCTTCCAAGCATTCATCTTGTTACTCCTTGTTTCTGAAAAGTCAGTGAGGTGTTAACCTCTGACTTACCCCTGAGTTCTCAGACTCAACATTTATTGCAACTTGTCTGAACCACTTCACTACATCACATACCTGATTGCTGAGCTGTGGAATAGTCTAAGCTACAACCCTTTGGCTCTGTTTCCTAAGACAGTGTGTTGTCTTAGTAAAATCATCCCTTCCTTGGGTGGCTAGATTCTCACATCTGGTGCACCCACCATTACAAAATGGACACTGTTTCCACGGTATCGATGGAAACCACGCTGGCGCAAAGGCCAATAGGAAGGGTCAAGGAACCTAAGATATACAAGGGCGAATCTACCCGAGAGCTCAACGAGTTCATGGCCTCAATCTGTGCCATCTTGTAGTACCAACCAAGCGTGTTTCCAACTGAGCAATCGAAGGTGGCCTTCACTGCCCAATACCTAGAGGGAGACCCTATGAAGGAGTGGGATAACTGGTGCGCCTCCCAAGAACAGGGATATATAGACCCCTTGGACATTGCTGGATTTGATCCGGCCAACCGACAGCGCATTGCAGCCTTGAAATACAATGCGGCCAACCAGAGAAAAGGACAGAGCATCTGCAAGTTTGTGGCCTATCTTGAGGACCTCGAACGCGAGATGGAACCCTATACCGAGTCGCAAAGGACCACCCACCTCTTGACAAAGATTCACCCAGAGATGAGGCAGTGCCTCCTCGAGGGGGGGTATGCAGAACATTCCACCACCCATAGGGACGCTGTTGTTAATTGTAATGGTGGGTGCACCAGATATGAGAATCTAGCCACCCAAGGAAGGGATGAATTTACTAAGACAACACACTGTCTTAGGAAACAGAGCCAAAGGGTTGTAGCTTAGACTATTCCACAATGCAGCAATCAGGTGTGTGATGTAGTGAAGTGGTTCAGACAAGTTGCAACAAATGTTGAGTCTGGGAACTCAGGGGTAAGTCAGAGGTTAACACCTCACTGACTTTTCAGAAACAAGGAGTAACAAGATCAATTCTTGGAAGCTTGGAAAAGACGTGGAAGTATGTGATAGTCGATTTACTGTATTGTCTGCTTGCCCTTTCTTAAGGAAAGGGCAATCCTATTTATGCTAAAGGGGTGTAGTTCTCTCATTTTCCAAGACTTTCCATGACTAACCAGGCTTGGTAAATGTATTAGAAATCAAGTGCGACCCACAACTAGCTTGCTAATCATGTAGCGAATGTAAGAGAATCCCATAGAACCATCTCTTGGGTTTCTAGCCTATAGGAAGTGAAAAGGAGGTCCAAGGTCAGAGTACCTATAGATAAATTATGTCATAACTTAACCAATCTTGTGGGTAACTAAGGAGCGATGACGTGTAATGAATCATAGAGGGTTGTAGAAGCTTCTAGAGCTATCGTTCATGTTCCTAGGCCTCTAGTTGGTAGAGATATGCCATGTGGTAGTATTGGCCCACCCCCTTAAGGAGGAGATTTTCTTAATAACTTGTTCAATGAGTGTCCAAATGATATGCCGTGATGTATGTAGCATAAACAGATGTAGTAGAAGAGTTTGCAGCAATCGTTGAGTAGTATTGTTTCTGTTGTTGGTGTGATAAGCCAAGATATGTATGGTGACTTGTAGGTTTGAGGAGGAGATTTCTAAGTTTGCTCTTGAGTTTGATAGCAAACTGAGTGCAACGAATGTCAGTATGACATTAATATCCTAGCAATGCTGGAAATGACCAACTGGTGGGCGACAGAGAAGACCCCTACTCTCGACAAGGACAACCAGAAAGGAGGAAGGAGTTCCTTTCATAGAGGTTTTCTCCCACCGAAGGGGCAACTTCGCTGGTGGCAGGGGATCTCGAGCCTCAACACCAGGGGAGAGGATGCCCTCCTGGAATAAGCACCGCCAACAAGATCAACAGTCGACGGGAGGGGGAACCCTTATGCAAGGTAGGGATACAAGGTTGACCCCGTTTGGGAACTGCTATAACTGCGCCAAAACGGGCCACTTCTCCAAGGAATGCCGAAGCCCACGCCAACACACAGGTTTGGGCGTAAGGAAGCTCGACACCCGCACCAAAGAAGAAGGGTGACTCCCAGTTGAGCCTTGGAAACACAGGGCGCTAAGGAGGATGGAGATCGAGGTAGAGGTGCAGGTAAGGCCCTAAATGGCACAAGGCAAAAGCCCTCCTCGATTCAGGATCTGACACGTCCACCATCCACCCTCTGTTTGCCAAGGAGAGGGGTTTGGAGTGCTGAGATAAGGCACCACCATAGGCAAGGGCAGTTGACGGAAAGGAGGTTGTGATATATGGAGCAGCCACCACCCAGGTCCGAGCTAGGGACCACTTCCAAAGGGAGTGTGGTGTGTTGTCACCCAGACCTTTCTTTCCATGGACACCCCAGGCGTAGACATTATCCTTGGTATGGATTGGATGGTGCAGGTCAACCCACAGATCCACTGGCGTGAACAGACCTGGCGCCAGCCTTTCGACATCGCGAGAGCTGAGGTGACGGATATTGAGGAGTGGGAGGAAGGTGATACTGCCTTCGTCTTGGCCTTGAGCGTGGACGACAACACGCCCACCAAATGCTCAAAGGAGTACGAGGCGTATATTGACATTTTCTGTGAGGAAAAGGCAGAAGACCTGCCAGAACTAAGAAGGAAGACCCATGCCATTGATACTGGGACCCAAGAACTACCGTATGGGCCAGTATATAACCTATCGGAAATGGAGCTGGCCACGCTCCACAAGTACGATGAGAGCGAGAAGAAGGGTTGGATCCGAAGGAGTGTAAGCACTGCAGGCGCACCCATTCTGTTCGTCCAGAAGAAGGATGGTAGCCTACGTCTCTGTGTAGACTACAGGGGCTTAAATAAAGTCACCATAAAGAATCGACACCCGCTGCCACTAATCACGGAGACCTTGGATCGGCTCCAAGGGGCGAGGTGCTTCACAAAGCTTGATATAAGGAATGCCTACCACTGTATCTGCATTCGTCCAGGCGACGAGTGGAAGACAGCATTCCATACTCGATACGGGCACTTTAAGTACAGGGTGATGCCTTTCGGATTGGCCAATGCACCCGCAACTTCCAAGCATACATGAATGAGATCCTACAAGGGCTGGTTGACACTGTATGTGTCGTATACCTTGATGATATCCTCATCTACTCCCAGAAGGAGGAGGAACACGACCACCACGTGCGAGAAGTCCTAGGACACCTACGCGAGGTGAACCTATATGTAAAGCTCTCAAAATGCGAGTTCAATGCCAAGAGGATAGGCTTCCT